AGCTCCAATATAGCTGAGTGGAGAAAAGAACTGCTCTAATGAGCTGCAATCTACTAGCAAAGGAGAGGTCTTTGTTAGTCCAGTGATTGATTCTATTGCAAACTCTGTAATCAGCACTCTGTAATCATTTGCCTTCAACATAGAAGTCACATAGTAGTGTATAGCCTATCTTGTACATTGAAGGATTTGCAAGTCAACAAAGTGGGGGTTCCAAATGACCCAGATCCTTCCCAAAGAAGAGTGGTTGTAGTTATTTGCTAGCTTCCAGTGCCTAGCAATGTAATTGTGGACTATGTCAACATTGGTTGGTTGAACCTTGGTTTCAAGAATGGCAACAATATCTGCTCTATTTTCTGAAATAAGAAGCTTAACTTCATCTTACTTTAGGGTGTTATTCAAGCCCCTAATGTTCCAAAATGGCAATAACTACCATTTGAGAAGTCTTCCTTTTGGGAAAATGTTCCCTCTTAGAGAGATTTTCTTAGAATGTTTTCTTTTGGATGAGCATCTTTTCTTGGTCTCACCTTTGTTTAAGGTGATGGGAAAACTATTAGTTGATTCATCTTCAGAAAGGTTGGTATATTCATCCGCAGCAAGTAGTAGTTGCTGTTTCAGCTCAATGGAATTCAGTGAGGTGTCTACCTCTTTTAATGATAGAGTCTGGAATGATTTCAAGGGATAAGATGGTAGGATTGTAGGAGCTTAGGTCAACCTTGAGGCTGTTTGTAGGCTTGAAGTAGTGTGTGATTATATTCTTCCCCTGTTAGAAACCTAAGGTAGTATGGGAAGGTGATGAAGAATCAGTTAATGCAATGGTGTTCATTGGAGGTGGGGAAGGTTGATTAGTTTTTGGAGGGCTCTTGTATGGAATTACTTTCCATTCCGGGGAGGATTGGGATTTTTTTGCTGGGGATAACATGGCATGGCAGGTTTTTTATGAGTTGTCGAAGCAGTTGCAGGTATAATAGATCACAGGGCAGTTCAAGTATTCAACAGTAACATTTTTGGTTTTTCCCGAGCTCTGGTGCAACTTAAGGATGAAGGGTAGGTCAGAGGTTGCATTAATTTCAACACAAACTTTGGCAAATCTTATTTTTTGCTTGGTTTCAGTGATTGGATCAGCAAAAAGAGAGACACCAATGAAGCTTGAAAAATAGCTGATACACGGCTTAGTCTAGAAGTGTAATGGCAGGCTAAAAAGCTTGATCCAGATTGGAATAGATGAGTGTTTTGCTCTATGGAAAAAGGGCTTCCAGTGGTTGAGGATGATAGGTTTATTGGCTAAGAACCAAGAGCCCTCTGCTAAAATTGCATTGCACTGGTCAGATATGGAAAAATGGAACTCAAATAAGCCTTTCTCTGAGCTAGTTACTTTGAAGAGGCCCCTGTCAGACCAGAGAAAGTTCGATAGGTCCTTGACCATTCCAAAGGGTAGGGGTTTATGGAAAAAGTAGCCAAGTAAGCTTGTTTTGAGGTGAGATAATCCCACTGCTTCAATCTCAAGAGGTGGGGAAATGATACCATCATTTGGTGGAAGATGCTGTATAAAGTCCAATGGTAATCTGGTTTGTTTTTTGTTAATGTCAGCCCACGTTGGGGAGGATAATGGGGGTTGACTGATGGGACAGGTTAGTGCTTCAGTGGTAGGATTGGTGTGTGAGTAGGCTTGTTGGGTGTCGGCTAGTAGCAAGGTAGATGCCATGGTGGTAGCAGGTTTAAGGAGAGAGGTGCTAGTTGCTTTAGTTGGTTTAGAACTATGGTTAATAACAGGTAAAGGGCAATGAGATTTGTCAGATAAAGATGGCTGTGAGAAGTGGGGAAGGGTGTCTTTGATAGGTGATGTGTGGTGAGAGGTATGGTCACATAGGGTAGTAGGTGTAAAGTCAGTAGAAGGTACGCTAGTCTGACAAAGAGGAGCACAGTGTGAAAGTGAAATACCTGGTGGTTCAAAATTCTTCTGAGAATTCAAATTTGAATTTGAATTCAGCCGTGCATTGTCCTCGAGATGGTTGGTGTGACAGCCTTGGTTGCTGGTGGCGGCGGCGGTGGTGGTGGGACGGAGATGAGGAGCATCCATGGTTTTAGGTTGGTTACTGAGTGAGGCTCCTTGGTGATCAGAGTTTTCCATTTCAGAGCAAGCACTGGAGTGATTAGCATTGATGATTTGGTCACTGAGCTCATTGATTCTGGCTCTCAGTTTGTCTTGATTCTTGAGACCATCTCCAATGATATCTCTAAGTTATTCCACTTCTTCAAGAAGGTGTTTATACTTGTAGTTACTCCTATACTCCATAAAGTCAGTACGCAACCTGAAGATCTCATCAATCAAAGCTTGTGTGTTAGATGGATCAATGTCCATCATAATATTGTTGTGATCATCCACAAATTTGTAGTGGGGGAAAACTGATTTCCCAAGAAAGGGAGAGAAGGCAACTTTTTTTGTGGCTTTCTTCAAGGTTGGTGATGGGGGAACAGTGGTAGAAGATTTGATTGGCATGGATGGTTTTTTGAGGATGGACTTAGGGTGTGGGTGTTGTGGATGGATGTGGTGTGAAGGGGTTGATGGGTTATTCTTGCTTCCCTTCGGAGGGACAGAATCTTTATGTAATTAATTCCTCGGCTCTCTTTCGTTTTTTTTTTTGTTCTCTTTCTTGGTAAATGAATTTACTATCCCATTGATCATGATGGTGGGTTTTGGAAGGTTTGCATTGCGAACAAAAGCATTAATAGTCTCGTACACCTGACAAAGGTTAGCAGACTACTACTATTGCCATTCATTTCTTGTGGTTGATAAATTTATTGAAGGAAGGTGCACTAAAAAGTTCTATCAATCAGTATTTTTCTTTTTTTCTTTTCACCCTATCAATCAGTATGAGATAGTAAGATGGAACATATATACATGTCACCATGCATGCGGAACATGCATCTTTTTTTCACAAACGTATTATATGTGGTAAAGTTTAACTTATTTTGATCAATAAATATTTTAGAAGAGGAGATTTTCTAATTCGATAATCTAGGAGCTGGTGTTGGATCTCGTCATTTGCCAATGTCCCCCTACTTTATCTTCTAGGGGTGGATGCAAATGGGCCTTTCTTAGGGGGTCCACAGTTATAAAAAAAGTCTTTAACTCGTAATTTCCGAAAAAAAAAAAAAAAAAAAAAAAAATTTCAATCACTTATAATATACTACGTATGAAGTTATAAACTTGGCATGGGTCCCATTCATTCAAGATTTTATGTGAAAATAGGGGAAAGGTACATGTAACATGCAATGTCAGTCCAACGACGTACCATGTCATTTAGCTAGAAGTCCAAACATGCAACACTCCATTACTTATCTTTCTCTTGGATATATATAGTCGTACGTACAAACACAGTGCTATGTATTATGTATACATTCCGTAGTAATCAATTTGAAAGTAGGCACTTGTAGGTGTGATTGATTTAACTTTCAGGAAAAAATAAATATATATATATATATATTTAAAAATTAATAAATAAATAATAAAAGCATGCTAACTAATTTTTCTGTTTTCTATTCAAAGTTATTTTGTTAATTAGTGTGTGCGTAGCATTTAGATATAAATAGAAACCAGATTCTTCATCATCACATTTGGTAGTGGCTTTCAATATTTTGTTTTTTGGGCTCATTAATTTGATGTTGGCAAGTACTATCTAAATTTTGTTTCTCCACCAGATAACGACCACACTTGCATGCAACTTCAGTTTCAATCCAGTATTCAAATTGCATGCTAGCTACCACTGCACTCCTCTATTAATTATTTGTCTTTGTTAAATATTAATTACTTCTAGGCATGCAACCCAACCACTCTCACAAGGGCGCGAACACGAGAAGCAATTCAACTACTCGGTCAACATGGCACTTGTATTAACATATTTTTCCCGCAAACAGTTGGTTTACTATACTAATTGGAGTTTTCTCGCTAAAAATCTTGGTGTTATCTCTATCTCTATTTACTTTACTGTATTTTATCTTATTTGAGATTAATTAATTAATTGTTAAAATAAGTAAAGCGGTTTAAAATAGAAAGACACATAACTATTTTTAAAATACAAAATTTTCTACACAAGTTATCTTCCGCTGCACAACTTTCACTTTTTGCCCTCTACTACCCAACAAGCACTCTCAATTATTATTAGGTGAAGAGAATATCTAGAACAAATATTTCACACCTGCAATAGGGCATTCCTTAGAACAAATTTACAAATTGGGCTTGCAGCCCACAAAAGCCGAAAGGCTACAATGAAACCCATAGAGGGGCCCAAGGACCATAAAAAAGAAGTGGGATCAGTCCGTTAGACAGTTTTAATGAGTAGTTCATTTGTCTTATGGCCTACTAGAGGTTGGGCTTGTTTTCAGCATTGGATGTCTAGTCTATGCTTTGTTAGGCCTTGTTTAGGAGGGGAAGACCAGGAGGCAAGCCCATACTGTTTAGAATGGCTAAATTTAAATCTGAACTTCCGTCATTTTTAGCTTCAATTTAGCAGTACTATATTGTTTCTTCTTCTACTTTGCCCTAGAAGACCATATATATGTAAAAAATAGCTGGTCAGTTATGTTTGCGATGATTAAATTATTTTTACAATATGTGATTACCAAATCCTGTTCATATGGAATTAATGCAAAGGACAATGATGATGATAAATTAAGAAATAGATTTTCATAAGTGACTTACACTGTAACACTAGGTTATTGATCTTTAAATAATTAAAATATAAAGCAAGTAAATAACTTAATCAATAAATAGAATAACGACAAGTAGACTGAAAGTAGGATGCATTTGATTATTTTACGTGAGTGGAGATGACGATCTATGACGTTATTAAATATGATAGTATCATCCTAATGTTATCTTTTACTCACATAAATTTAGTGAGTCGGATGTGTTTAATTCTTGGACTCTGTATCACATCTCAGTAATATTATTGCTACAACACGCCCTTAAGCACACCCTGGAGTAAGACTGGCAAATGCAATGGAAAGAACAAAAAGAAAGAAAAATTAATAGCACAAATTAGGGTTATTAAATATGTTAGTATTTAAGTTGAAAACATCACAACACATGCATGAGACATAGCAAACATATACTGTCTCTAATGCCAAACACGAGATTCTAACGACTTCCCCAAGAAACCAAAACACCACCAGATCAGGTATAAAGACCCCCTACTTGAGCAAAGTTGATGTCTGTTTCTTAGTGTTTCCCGGACATTGCTGTAGCACAGACTGTCCCTTCAAACATATTAACTGCACAATAAATGGAAACAAAGTATTAGTAAGTGTGTCTTTGATTATTAAAAGGTATTTGAGAAAATATGTGGTGTTTTTAAGAACCATGATAGTGGTATTTTGGGCTGCAATCACAATCGAAATGTCATTTCTGCGGGTATGCACAGCTTAAGCTTTTGAGTCAGGTAAGCGTTCGACACGCTATCTATGGCTATGGCTTTAGTATTCTAACTTAGAGCTGCTAAAGAGTAGGTTCGAAGAGACTGCACAGATAGTGGTTTGCCAGCTTTTGTTTTCATATGTTTGGAATATAAAATTGTAGAGACTGCACAGATAATGGTTTTTCAGTTTTTGTTTACACTTGAGGTTCGAATTAAAGATTAATTTTAATTAACTTAATTACAGATCATTTTAATTTAAAAATGTGAATATCTTGATTAATCTTCACAATTAGGATCATCCTTCTGATCATGTTCTCAGTCTCTGAAAGACGATCTTTTTGCACGATATATGGCTGCAACATCTTTTTCAATCAAACTTTCAATTTCTCATTTAAACTACAGTAATATGTAACAAAATGATTCCAATATATACTTGCAGAAATCAAAATGCCCAGTCTATAAAAATGAATCAAACCTCTATGGTAAAAGCATTGGAAATCTACTTGGTGGGAGCTAACATATATATGTGAGAAACTAAGACTGCAATTTTAAATCAATCATATATAATGAATTTGATATGCATATATTTACCGGGAAAAAAAATTGGGATAAGCATACAAACTGATGCATATGTTTTTTTTTTTTTGGGTCAAAGGGTAAGCTTGTAACTGATGCACATGTTACTTGATGATGGTGCAGAATAATTTTGAGGGTAAAAAATCTTACACTAACTGAAGGGGTGTTTGGTCTTGTCGAGAGTAGTGATGATCATTAGGTTGCAGCCCATTGAATTGAAGGTAGTTTCGAGCGTCCATTGGCTGAGTGGGCACGAGCTGATAGTCAGACCCCCCTCGCATCAAGTTCAGTTGCTGATGGGCTCTTTCATTCTCAGCTATCTGCACAATACACAAAAGCCCCGTTCGCTCATTCAGTAAATGTATGTGTGTGTCTGTGTGTGAGAGAAAGAGATAGAGATAGACAGAGAGAGAACCTTGGCTCGGAGGTACTGGTTACTATTATGCAAGTCGACCTCCTGCAGAGTACAGATTTTTTATCATGAAAGAAAAAGAAGGATTAAGAAGCTGAAAATATGTGTGAATGATTTCAATTCCCAGCATTAGAATAATTCATTTCCTTCTCTTGAGATATTCAAAAAAAAATTACTGGAGTGTTACAACAACATAATTGCCATGTTGTAATTTGCTTCATATTGGTCATTGTTGTTTCCATAATTTACTTTATGAATGCCCTAATTATAATAGTTATCTAAATAAGTTGTTTTTAAAAGAACATAGATATTTGTGAACAAATTATATAGACATAGTTTTACTTCATCTAGTCAAGATGCTTATTATTTTTAAAGTCCTTATATTAATCTTTTCACAAATAAAAAAATTAAACAATCTCTCTTTAAGAATCTAAAATAAAAATGTAGGGATTTCTTGGGTCACATTCCTTTAAGAATAATAAATATAGTATAACTTTTGTGTCTTTGAATTATTACTAATATTATGTATCCCCTACCGTGGAATAAATACAAGTTATAATTTTTTACTATTCCACAAAGTAATTGTCTAATTTTTTTTTTTTTTCATAACATGTTCTATACATGCACATATGATAATCATATATAATACCATACAGGTAGTTTAGATGTGCTCCAAAAACGCTCCTATTCTGATCAAATTTTAGATTTTGTTTATTCCTCTCTCCAACTCCTGCTCTCTGAGACTTCGATATCAATCCATGGTAATTCTTCATCCACTTATTATTCAACACAAGTTGCAAGGGAGGGACAAACCTCCTCTTAAATTCAAAAATTCCCCAAATGTTAATGGCTTTATGAAACCGTGATCCTAAATCTCATGATCATTTTCTCTTTCAGAACTGTCACTTTATATATACAGTCAAGGACTCACTTCCAGACACTTACTTATAGGGTTTCATGTTCTTCCAGAGAGGGCCAACAACAAGAAGCAATACATAAGTCCCCATCCATAAAATTGGTTGTAACTTGTAACTTTAAGGAGGAACATGAATGCAACAGTATGAATACTTACCCTCTTTTGCATATATTCGACTTCAGCAAACAACAGCTCATTCTGGTAATTTAAAAATAAATAAATAAAAGAAAAAATAAAACTTGTTAGAGGCAATTTACAAGCTAGCTTGTGTAAAACATATATAACAGAATTTTTAATGTGATTACAATTAAGAAACATTTGTGTACATAAAAGTATTAATAAGTACCTTCTTGGATCGGATTCTGCTAATGCCTCGCTCTAAACGACCCTCCAGATTCTTGAGGTCTCGGAGTGTCAAAGTGCTCAGAGACTCACCCAGCATATTCCTGAAAAATGACACCGTTTAAGTAGAGACTAAGGCAAGAAAATTAATTTTATAAAATGATATCTACAAGGACCTCCTGAAATTACCTGTTAGAGTTCTGCAAATTGCTAATCTGGGCACGCAGTTTAGAAGCTTCTTGCTGGTAGAACTGTTACAATTGTATATCAAATATTTAACTTAAAGTGTGTATGGACGCTGTAATGCCAGAAAACAATAGCAATATTGTGTCTAATTCAGTTGCCACTTCAAAAAAATTTATTTATTCTCATATGCTCTGACATATTTTCACAATTACCATACACAAGTAAAACAATGCATTTTAGTTGATATAGATCTTCAATTATTATTTTGAATTCCAACTATTTTGAAGTGGAAAATTTGGGGATGCTCTGTTTAGCTTTCTGAAAATTGTTCTTTAAAAATACAGAAAATAGAAAACTGCTTTCAAAATACTATAAAAGGGAAAGAATATTTTTAAAATTGAGTTATAGAAAAATACAACCAAACAAGTTTCTGTACTCTGAAAAAAAAAAAAAAACTAATGTATAAAGCCAATTGCATCAAGAGCATTGATCTATACTACTGTATAAAGCCAACACTGTTTAACTATTGTAGTAAGAACTACCAAAATATGTAGGCAATCTTTTTTCAGGTTAAAGAACTATGTAGTGGTTTAGAAATTAACTTTAAACTTTTCACTCATCCAACACTAACAAATAACTGCTGCAACTGGTTGTTTTGTTTTTTGTTGCTGTTCAAACAGCTTTTGTTTTTGTTCATGGGATGGGTTGTTCTGCCCATGCTAGTTTGTTGCTTTTGGTCTTTGGGCCTTTGCCCCTCCTTTGTACAGTTTCCCTTTTTGTTTTATTGAAATTGACTTGCCGAAGAAGGAAAAAAATAAATAAATAAATTCCACAATTTAACTTATAAACGTGAAAAAGTGAGGGGAGAGAGAAGAGTGTAAAGGGAGGTGTAAAAGCACAACACATGTGAATGTCAACAACATCACAACTAAAACCTAAGGAACCACTTACATCAACACCAATTATTATGCAAAATAGATAATAAATTAAATTGAACTATTAACATGCTCTTCTCTAGATGATTTATGTCACACATAAGTCTCTTTGAAGAAAATAGTAATTAATTTAGTCCAAATAGGAAAATTAGATAAATAAATTGAAGTAATTCGCATCACAGCCTCTAAAAAGCTCCTATATGACATAAACAAAGCCCTAGCTTTTCATTTACATTCTACTTTGATCGTGTGCACTATCAAGTGAACAATCTAAAAACACTTTGGATAGCTATATTATATTCTTAACATGAACTTTTACTCTTTCCATTGCAATGTCATTCTTGCAAGACATTACCTCAGCAGTTATGAAATTATTCCCTCTATGAAAGAATCAAACAAATGATGATAATACCTGAGCATTGGCCTCGGAAATAGAACCAGTATTTGAGGAATCTGAGCATGCCTTTTTGTACCTATCTATAGTTCCTTTAACACTGCATTCATTGTAACTGATTTGTTAGTATCATAGGATATAAGGTGCTTCAAGTCAATGGAGTTTCTGATCACCATATATTAACATAAAAGGCATATATAGACAACATTCCTAATTATAATAATTATCAAATCCGAACATATATTTTTAGAAAGTATTACAGATTAGAAAACAAATGCAAGGCTAGAAAGAGAGGCATTCTCAGGATGAACAAGAACAATGTGTCCTGTCCATTTTCATGGGCTTTTTGGACTGCTGTACAAATTTTTTCATATTTTATAGCTTACCCATTCAAAAAAAATAAAAATAAAATAAATAAAAAAACAAGAACAATGTGTCAAATATGTCATTTGAAGTAAAGCTAGTATGATATATTGAATTTTCATATAGAATAACTTGTCATCTGAATTTTTTTATTTTTTAAAATTTTTTATTTTACTTCAGCTTACTTTATATGGTTAGAAAGGAGTGTGAGAGCCTTCAGAGGCAAAGTTTCAGCCCTTCAAACTTGATCAATAACTTTATAAGGAGTAGGTTAGCTTCAATGAAGTTAACTGACAAGAAACTAATGAGAAGAATTGAGAGACATTGGGATATACAAATTTCTACTTTGGGTGGAGTAGTACAATGATAACTGGAAAGAGAGGATTTTTGGACTGATCTTATCACAAACTAGTTGTTTTTTTTTGTTTTTTTTTATTAATTTTTTTTTTTAAGTTAATAAGTATTATAGAAAGCATTCTACATTGTAACCAAATGATACCAGCCCAGAGATACAAGGCTCAAAGCCCAAAGGCAGCCCAACCCTCTAAAGAGCTACGAAAAACCATTGACCATAACAGGACTCAACACATTGCAGTGAACATGGAGAAGATGTCTCCCCCTCCAAGAACTAAGTTTGATCCGGAGGCTTGGCCGGCAGACGGATAATAGAGGCTGAAAGTTCCCACTCTTCTATGATACGCCTGGAGTTTGGGGAATCTGTAAGTGATGATGACATGAGCTTCAGTCTAATTGTATCTAGAGTTTGGTGTAGTAATGAATTTTGAGAAAGATTTCTTCTTGAAAATCCTTCTGCTACGCTCCATCCATATATTGTATACAAGTGAGCTCAGAGCTAATTTTGCAACTGAATTGCTGTAGAACCCAGTGCTGCATTGCCAGTGATGAGATGCCCAATCGATGAGGTTCTGCCATGACTATGGATGGACATAGAACCCACATCTTGTTTGAAGAAATGACCACAAGGGCTTTGTGTTATCGCATTGGAAGAATAAGTGGTCGTGGGACTCTAAGTGGGAGCTGCATAGGGTACAAAGGGTGGCATTGATGTGGGATGTGCACCTTCTTTTCAGAATAGGCAATTTCTGTTGGATAGCAACCCACAAAGTAAATGAATGTTTGGGAATTGAATTCTTGGACCAAACTAGATGAGTCCATGATAGATTTGGTAAATGATGATCAATGTGCTTCAGTGTTTGTGCTATTGAGAAGCCTTCACTGGAAGATGGTATCCACATCACTTTGTCTTGTTTCTCTAGACATGGTAAGGGAATGTTATTAGCTTGCAACAGTTGTGGAAATATAGTGGTGATGGAAGGGGGAAAAAGCCAAGTGGAATTGACTATGAATGAGCACAGTTTTGTTTTGGTGTTAATGCCAGTATCTCTAAGCTACTGTGGAGAGATGAGTAGGTGTAGTGGCCCTATCTAAGCTGCACTAGTTGTCAAACCAAAAATTGGTGATTGTTTCATTACCAATTTCATATTTAACAAGAGGCTTGATTGTAGGCCTTGGGTTGAGTAGCCTCCTCCAGCTCCAAGAGCACTGGCCAGGGATCTTGACTTCCCAAATGCTTCTCCCTTTGAGCAAGTAGTGATTGATCCACTAGACCCAAAGCATCTGTTTGGAGTTGATGATATGCCAGAAATGCTTCATTACTGCAACCTCATTCCATATTGCTAGGTTTGGGATACCAGGTCCACCAGCCCTTACTAGTGAGAAATGCTTGCTAGGTTTATGATTGATCCACTACTGTTGTTGGCTCCAATTTACACTAATTTATTGTTGTAATTGTTTTGCTATTTTGGGCATAGTTCCCAACTAGCATATTGTTGGTAGGTTGTTAGTTGTGCAATATTGAGAACCCAAATCCTCTACAGTACAGCACGCTGTCAGTCGTTCAATATAGTGCAGTTGTACTGCACAATAGTGTTGCCTTGCTCTATGGTATTGTTTCCGTCCCTTTGGGGTTGCATGTTTGTATAGTTCTTCAACATATCAATATACAACTTACCCTTTTACCCGAGAAAAAAAAAAAAAAAAATACCCTTCACTTAATTAAAGCTAATCAGATAAATTAAGGAAGCATAAGGGGACCTTTGAGTGGCCAAAATTTTACTTTTAACTTTATTTTTTGTATGTGTGTAATTTATATACAGATAGTAAGATGTAGAACAAGGTACAAAAAATGAGATGAACTTGTAGGAGCTTTTCGGTTTGTTTGTATTGGTCTGTCTCCTTGTTTGGCTTGAAATTTTTTGCTCCTTGTCCTGGCTGCTTTTGCCTCTTAAGCAAGCCTTGCAATTTTTTCCTTTATTGAAATTACTTACCTTACCCCAAAAAAAAAAGTACCCAAAAATGAGATGAACTTGTACAACCTAATTATTTACATAATATTGATAAATGTAATACTCTACCAGCATTGCTCTAAAATCTCACAATTCTTGTTATAGGGAGGCACTTCACTTTTCTCCACTTATCTAACGAGAAAAAAACTCACTAAACTAAGTAAACTCATTAATGCACTATCTCTTAATTTAAAATACAATAACTAGCCTTTATACAATAAACTTTAACTTTTCTCTTTTACCATATTTATTTTTTGGAATCTTATCAAAAGAGGGGGGGTCTTTGTTTTTTTTTTGTTTTTTTTTTTTGGCCCTTTCAAAATAGATAATTTATTCAACAAATAACTTTAGTTTTATTCCCTTTTTGTTTTTTTGGAACCTGTCAATCAGATTTTTTTTTTTTTTTTTTTTATAAGTTTATTTTTTTGGAGGGGGTTGGGGGTTGTCAAATTTATTTTTTCCAAAAATTAAGAGATAAAAACCATTACAAATTGGAGAAAGAGGGGTAGACCAACCATATTTGAAAGGGTAATTGTGTAATTAAAAAATTATTATTATTCACTTGTGAAGTTGGGGTTAAAAGAGTCATTTCCTTTTAAAATGAGAGTGCAAAGGTCGAAAAGTACCGAATATACATTTGACGCTCTACTTTTCTACATTTGCACTCCTATTTTAAAAAGAAATGACTCTTTTAACTCCAACTTCACAAGTGAATAATTATTGTTTTTAAAATTACACAATTACCTTTTCAAATATGGTTGGTCACCCCTTCTCTCATCCATCTTTAATATTTTTGATCTCTCTGACAGCCCCCAACCGAAAAAAAAAAAAATTATAAATAAATTATCTGATTTGACATGACAAAAAAAAAAAAAAAAAAAAAAGGTTATCTTAATTGAGTAAAATATATCTTTTGACGGGATAAAAAATAAAAGTAAAAAAATTTCTCTCTATTGAATAAATTATCTGTGTTGATTATATATATATAAAAAATAAAAAATAAAAAGTTGTATTTCTTAAAAAAAAAAAATTATCTTTTGGGACCAAAAAAAAAAGGTTATCCTGTGTTGAATAAATTATCTTTTTTATGAACCCCCTCCAAAAAAAAAAAAAAAAAAAAAATACCCATTATAAGTTTATCTCTTTTGACAGAGTAAAATAAATTACTAAAAAAAATAAATAAAGTAAAAAAAAAAAAAAAAATAGTTTATATTATAAAGGATAGTTGTGGTATTTTAAAATAAGAGATTGTGCATTAATGACTTTAGAAATATTTTTGTCATTTTATTTAGAAGAAAAAGGCAAGTGGAGTGCACCGGTAGAAAAGTTGAGTGTCAATTTCGCCCGCCATTGATAACCTTTAAACTGCATGCATGTGTACATAAACACTTGTGTCATTTGATAAAATTGAAAATTAAGAAATAAAAATTTCAACATGCATGTAAATTTTAGGTGTTGAATACTTAAATGGTGTTAAAAAACATATATACGTAAATGATAATTACAAATAAAAAAAATTTTAAAATATCATTTTGAAGTTTGAGTATTCATCATTTAGCAATATTTAAAAAGAATTAAATAACAATTTACGAAAATTACATGACCTATTTTATATACCAACACTATATTTTGCCTCTACACTCAACCTCCCCTTCTCAAGGAGGCTTATGCCATGTCTAGGCTATCAACTATTGGTAATAGTCTAATAGATTAAAAAGCAAATAATCAAACTTTTTTCTCTTGGTAACTACAATGCTTTAGTTGACCTTTGAGAAAAAAGAAATAATAATAATATACTGTTGGAGGAGATTCTGAATGTTTGTACAGTTATTTTTGGATGCTCAAGGAATTAAACTATTTTTGCCATAAAATATAATTTTTTTCAGAACAGATGGTGATGAACGGTCAAAAATCCACCCATCTCTCTCAGTAATTAATCAAACTACACAACACGCAAAGGGATGGTAAGTCTGAGTAGTTGAGTCAGAGAAAGTAATAATGTGACAGATGATGTAATTTAACATATCAACACTGGAACATACTTCTAACCTAGTATCCTCTCGATGTGCTGCTACCTTAATTTCGTCGAGCCACTGATTGGCTGTCCTCTGCCACGCTGGCAAATGTCCTAATAATATGATTGGCCAAAGTTTTTCAACGTTCAAATATCTGCCACGTGTCACATCACCCATTGCACGATAGATAATCCCATTGACCAAAGACTCTTACCCCCACCTCGGTAAGTCCAAAATCCAATACTACTTTGAAGTAAAGTCTTATAATCTAATTTTATATTCAGTCTTATCTGTCTGTAACTCTGATTACATCAGAGCCGTCAGTCTCAGCAGCCATTGATGTAGCTTCCCATGCATAAAAACAAGCCAAAAGCTCAGAACTCGCCATTGGTTCGCAGTTGTTGTACGTTGTCTCTCTCTCTCCTCCCCCCCCCTCCTTCTCTCTCTCTCTCTCTAATGACTTTACATAACTATATCTATACAAGATTTAAAAACAAATGCTAACCCAAGTCCTGGCCAATCAGAGTCATGAGGTGATGGTTTGAAGGACAAATGATGATCCAAGTCTTTGCTGACATTTCCACAACTTCTGTGAAAGGCTTTAACTTTAGAGCTGAGCAAAGCAAACAGATCTATATATTTCTTAGTAATAAGAAATGTCCAATATAATGTTTTCATCATTCAAGTTAAATTAGGGTTCAGTCTCCAAATATATAAAAAAAAAAATCTTTTTTATCGAATATATCAAGAACTCAAAAAATTAATAATAATAATACTGGTAAAAAAAAAAAAAAAATCGTGTGACATGACCAAAGAGACTACAATCACCAAATTTAGAGTTCAATTCTAACTAGAGTACCCAATATCCTTAAGAGGGTATAATATATAAATATATATATATATATATATATATATATATATATATATATAAATGTATAAGCACTCATCAATAATAACCGAGTGTTAATTGGTTGTAGAGTGTAGAGGGATCTAGAACTTAGATTTTTAAAAATACCCACTTAAGTATTTCTAAAAATAAACCTAAATTGGTTTTTTTTTTTTTTTTTTTCTTGGGTAAGTGAACCCTAACCCTAATTTAGTACTTTTGGACTGATTCACATAGTTTTAATTGGAACCCATTTAATAATTAAGAATAAAGGTTACTGTGGTTGTGATTGAATGTGACCTGATTTGGTTATGGGTGGTCGGAATAGGGTGATTCTACATGTTTCAAGGGCTGAAATTTATAAGAGTTTTTCTTGAAACCCTAATTTGCTTTTTTGATGGAGCAGATGACAACTTTATCAGTGTCCTTTTGTTGGCTGCCGTTTGATGTTCAACTTACATGCTATTAAGGTAGTGTCTTGGAAGGGTGAGAAAATGGGCAAATAGAAGCGTGACAACTTCGTTGTAGGCCTTCTTAGCCTTACAGATGACATATTGAGAGAAAATAGAGAGAGAGATAGAGAGAGAGAGAGAGAGGCAGAAAGGAAAGAAAGAGAAAGAGAAAGAAAAAGACAAAGTTAGAGCAATGGAGGAAGATAGGAGGCTGATCTCACTGTTTCTGATAAATTCCCAAATCTCTACTTGTTGCTACAACAAATTAAATTCTTCTATTTTCTATTTATTACAAAAAAAATCTATGTATCTAACAAAACGAAGAAGGGAAAGAGCATCATTAGGGATAAGAAAAAATATATATAAAAAATACCATGAAGCTTATAGAAAGAAACAAACAAAACAGGAAAAAGAAAGACAAGTGAAATCTAACTCGTTTGTAGAGCTAGAACTCAAAAATCAAATGAAATTATTAATTAAAAATAGAAAACTAAAATAATATTTCTTGTGTTTAAATCTCTCTCCCCCAACCCAAAAAGAAGAAAATGGAAAATTCGATTGCATAATCTAAATTTCTAGAGACAAGCAGACATCAACATCAATCTAAACTATGTTTAAGGGCTCTTTTTTACTATAAAAAAAAAATAGAATTAAAGAGAGCAAAATATTTTCCACCACCTGAAAAAAGAAGAAAACAAAGAAAGACCTGATGGAGCTAAATAAACACATACATTAAAGATTGAGAAGCTGAGATGAGGCCGTGGAAAAGGTGATTTGAGACCTTGAGAAGCTAAAATAGAGATAAATAAAAGAGCAATACCTGTTGTTGGCATACTCATAAAGACGGCCACGGTTGGAGAAGACGATAAGAGCAATCTCAGCATCACAGAGAACAGAGAGTTCATAAGCCTTCTTGAGTAAGCCGTTTCGCCGCTTGCAGAAGGTAACCTGCCGATTGGTCTTGTTTTCGATCCGCTTTATCTCAATCTTTCCCCTACCCATTTTTCTTCCAGGAGAGGTGATCTCCCTGGTGGATTCGTTTTCGAACGCCGTGGTTGCGAGCTGACCAATCAAGCAAAACAAAATTTAGTAACATTCATTAACCATTTCTGTTTGATTGCCTAGAATTCATGAGAAAATAAAGGGAAATGAAGAATTTTTAGAATCTTAAAAAAATAATAATAATAATAATAAAAAGCCATTCTAACACCAACCAGTTGTAACATAACATTCCCACTTTTTCTTTTCTTTTGTATCATTCTTGGGGAATGTTAAAGCACTAAAAGAAGTTATATAAGCATGAAAATGATCATTTCAGATTGTTTATGATCAATTTGTTTAGCTCACTGACCTGGTGAGGAAATTAACAAAGGGGATAAAAGGATGATTTGAGGACAGAAACTAGACTACTAGTCTCTTCCTTGGCTTTTCTCTGGATGATCTCTTCTTTGCTTACAAATCTGCAAAGGAGAGAGAAAGAGAGAGAGGAGAGATTATGCAGAAAATGGAAGGGAGTTTCAATAGGAGTTGGGTATTTATAAAGTAAACAGCGACCCTTTATCCATCAATAAACTGTTTACACTTAATCTCGTCTTTATACTAATTTAATTATTTGTTTAACTAATTCTCTTTGTTGGAGATTTTTATTTCATGTAGAAGCAAACAGAAGGCTAAAGAGGGAATCACTCATAAGATGTAGACTTGTCTGATCACCAATTTTTTAATTTATTTTTTTAAAAACTTTCATGTGACAGATAACAGAGAGAAGAAAAGGACCTCTGAAAGTGATTTTAATGGGGTGAATGGGACTTGGACTAAGTTGCACTCAATTTTTAACTCTCTCTCTCTCTATATAAATATATATGTGTATATATACATACGTATATATTTCTATTTGAGAATAGCATATGTAACATCTTAAATAAGGTTTTGAATCTCTTGCTAGATATGTGTCAGTGGAGATCGAATATATGCATATAATTTTTGTGATGGCACATAATTTTCACAATGCTCATAGGGAGACTTGAACTATCTAAAGAAGAGAATGTACCACTGGTAAATATAAACTGTTCCTCTAACTATTTACCAAACCTCTCTTCCCTCTAGTATATATTTTTTTCTCCCTCTTGCTTGTATAGTTCAAACTAAAACTGAATCATGGAGGCTATGACAAAGTGAAGGTGACTGCCATGTGACACCTAACCCCCCATATATATATATATATACACACACACACTTGTTATTGATTTCAATTTTATGGTTAGAAAAAGGAGAGTCATTGGGCATTCCAAGCAGGTATTTGTTTTCATTTTGTATATTTGATTGAATTCTCTATGACTGGGCTATGCCAATCCCTCTTGTTCTCAACGTCTGATATTTTTTGCTTCAGAAAATCACATCACTTCAAACTAGGGTGGCAAAAGTTGACATGACCCACCAACACCACTCGAACGCGACATGAGTTAAATGGGTTTAGATTAACCTTAAACAGATTCGAGCCATAAATGGGTCAACACAATTAACCCATTTAGTTAATCATGTCGTGTTTGAGTTGAATGGTTCAACCTGTGTAACCCGTTTATTCACGTTTAACTATATATGTCATAAATAAATTTCTATATAAGTTCTAAAATAATTATATAAATTTGTGTCTAATAATTTAATCTTTTGTAAATTAGAAACTATTTAGTAATTTGGTTGATTAAAACTTATATTTTTTTTAGTATTTATTATTTTATTGAGTATTATTAATAATTTAAATTATGTAAATATCTATATATGTAAATAGGTCATTAAACGGGTTACACGTGTAACCCGTTTAATAAACAGATCGGGTTAGTGTTGAGAGTTTCTGACACGATTATTAAACGGATCATGTTCTAGTTAAGCTGTTTAGTATAATATCCTTAAGTTGATATGACAAGATTACAACCCGCGAATACGAATTGCCACCCCTACTTCAAACCACCACCCCTTTCTCTTTTTTTGATCTGATTCGACTTAGCGAAAGGTTGGTGCCCATATGGGCAGAGTTTTTAATGGGCTAACCTGAGCTATAGCCCAGGTCCAAATTTTTTTAAAAAATTAGTACTACTATTTTTATCCGCCTAGTCCATATGTAATCAATATTTAGTACTACTCTTTTTCTTCCTAACAGCCCAATCCGTAATACTATTCATCTTCTTCCTATCAACTCAATCCATATGTGATATGTAATCAATTTTTACTCCTCTTCGGCCACTCCCTCTCAACACGCAGTGGTATTTTCCCTCACAAGATTTGCCCTGTTTGGGGGTCTAGCAAGGAAATTGCAAAGACTTGAGAAGGGGTCTAATTAATTTCTCATCTTTTTGAACAAATATTGATAAAAAATTAGTGAAGAGAATACGTAGAAGTAGAAGAATCTCTTTAAGATTAAAAAACCCTATTTATAGGTGATTTTTAATTTTTATCCCCCGAAAAACTTGATTTAATATATGAGAACATCATCGTTTTTTTGTCTATTTTTTTAATATATATATCATATCTTTATCATAAAAATTATTGTGTTCATCTTCAAATTTTCTTATTATCTTTAGCCCCTTTACTTTGCAATCCTAACTCCGTCCCTGAGTGCCCATCTCTATACTTGGATTTCTCAATGTCTCTGTGCTGTATACGTTACACCTCGTTAATGTGGATGACATTTCAAGGTTCCATGCCCAATATTAATGTCTTACATATTCAACTTTGTGATTGACAAGTCATATTTTCTTGCTTGGACACTATCCGTGCAATGTCGTGCATTCTCACCAAACAACATGATCCATGTTTGTGTAATCTATGGTACACAATGTCTGTTCATTCAAAATGTCAGTTGATGATGATTTACTTATTCTTTGACCGGTAATTAAAGTGGCGAAGAATTGTTTGTTCTACTTCCATCACCAAAACATTTCATCCATATATTGAACTACTAAATTATTAATTCAGTTTTCAAAAAACAAATTTTGATCTGCCAATTTAGCTAGTCCAAGTTTATACTTTTGTTTTATCCCAAAATGTCAATTTATACAATCAATCAACCATCCAGACATACCTGAGGTACAATTGTGCGTAGATAAAAAAATTCCAGTGCCTAGACTTTTACTCCATAAGAGAAAAGTATATCCCACAAAAAAATTACACTTCCTATGATACTAGCTAACATAGAAAAAGGGATACACACCCAAATTCTTTCCCAAATAGATATGTTAATGTGATGACACGAAATGACCAATCATTCCCCCCAAAAAAAAAAAAAATAAATAAATAAATTATCATATTGGTGTTAATATTACTAAGATAGGTGATTTTTCATATTTTTTTCATCATCTGTGTGTATAAAGATATAGTTTCTCAAGATTCACTTTCTACTCATGGAATTAGGTCTACATGAGCTCTAACTCTATGAAAGAAAAGGACATGGTAATTAGAGGTCAAAATTCCTTATGGTTATAACAAGAAAATCTTCACCAAATCTACCATGAGGACCACATTGAGAGCAACTTGTACAACATCCTTCTTACCTCACATTGGAAGTGTTAAAAGGAGGCTTCTAGGACAACTTATTGGCCATTTGGTCGCAGTTTTGACACAATCAGCATGTGTTTTATTGTTTTTGCATTGTTCTTGAATGTGCAAAGTAAAGAATCATGAGACTTAATGTGATTAATGTTATTGGAAATAAAAAATTACTCTGAAAATTAGATGAAGCACATTAGGGTTTCCTAATCTGAAAGATTATACGATAAAGGTGGGAAAAGGTGAGATTAGAACAGAAACGAAACCAAATTCTCTCCACCAGATACATATATAGTTGGATGTTTTACATTATTTACTAAATCAAGTAAATACAACTAAGAACTGCACTAATAGTGAGTGCACCATACTGGTAGGTTAAGTTAGGTAGTATATCACAAGACTAATTGCAATAATGGGTAATAAGTAAATCACAAATTGGGAAGAATAAATTTGGATTGTTTAGTGAAAAAGGGAAAGAGATAAGTTCTAACACAATAAAATATTAAAAAGACAAATTAATCTACCAAGCATATCCTCGAATGATTTGAGTTGGGTGATCAGAAAAATAATTATTTATATATATATATATATATTCACATTGAACTAGCTAGCTAGCAGAGGAACTGAAGAAAGTACATGAAGAAAGTCTTATATGAAAACCAATATTCTCTCTAAGCAGGGGACCACAAAAGCAACATGATTTTTTTTTTGGACCTTCAAAATGATGCTGAAAGTTGCAGGCCTTGAATGCAGAACCAAAACCATAAATGCACTATAAGTTCATAACCTGTCACAATCCAACTTTCTTCATCACTTCATGCTATTATTTTTCTTGCCAAGCTAGCCACTTGATTTTTATTTTTCACTCACCTAATTCATCACCAGTGAGGTTTAGTTAATTCATCACCAAATGACTGTCCTTGTGAAAATGATGGCTTGTTTCTGGTTAATTGTTTCAGCTTAGAACAGTGCCGTTTCTTTGTTAATTACCTCTTTCTTTTGATGCCAAACCTTAAAAATAAATAAATCTTTACCAGGAAAAATTGTACATAGGAGATTATTGCATTTTATTTTATTAATCTTTTTTTAATCTAGACGGTTGATTTCAAAAAACCCTGCTAAATTTGGTTTAACTGTACCAAAAGAATGAAAAGTTCGATTATCAGAATGCCTCTTTCTTTATTTCCGTTTTAACCCCAAGGGTTGGCCTAGTTGGAAAAGACTTGGCCCTGCCTCTGACGAAACATCAGGTCTCAGGATCGATTTCTCCTAAGTGCAAACAATTCCTTAGAGCCCACGCCCGCGGATATAGTCCGAGTTTTATTCAATCCATATAAGAATAACTTGCATGGGTCCCGTGGATTAGTCGGGACGAATACCCCAGTTATGGAAAAAAAAGGAAAAAATGAAATGGGATAGATCCAAATCATGTTAGTACTAAGGCAATGATTATCAGAAGTTGCAATAGGTTTCTTTATTAATTCTCAAGGGCTGCCTACCTTCCCCAAGCTAGTTTTCAGATCAAGGAAACACAAAAATATCTTGTTTGTGGTATTCCACACCTCTTTTTTTTTTTTTTTTTTTTTTTTTTTTTTTTTTTTTTTGAGGAATTTAGAAAAAAGTTTGATATGGGTGTTTGGAAGTTGAGAAATTTAGAAAAAAAATAAAATAGGATAACATTTGTTGTTATTTTGATGAATTATTCTCAGAATCTCCACAGACATCGACACGTTGCCGAACCACATAGATTACTTTGTTCTCACTTAATTGATCTTTGCTTCACTTTTGTCATAAGTTCAGCAGCGGTTTTGTTTTTCTACTTGAAACAATATGATTGTGCAAAACTATTTTTTTGTGTTCAGCTATGGGAAATGGTTGTGCAATTAGTTACTTTGATAGTAGGCAAAGATACCAGATTTGCGCCAAGAAAGACACAATGATCAATATAGTAGAGCTTTAACTGTA